GGGTACTATACCTCCATATCTATTTGGATCCTGGAGTTTTTGACTGAGTTCTTCTTGATTGTCAAACTTGAATGAAAGGACAGGAATTGAGAATGGTGCCAATCCCTGCATTGACAACTCCTGCCAAAAAGACAAAATAATTCTGAAAATAGTTCAGAATGCACAATAAGCGGATGCTTCACCCGTTAAACCTCTAAAACTGACTGACCAGCATCTAATTTCTCCTTACAAATAATATCACCCCTGAATCACACATTAAGGGCACGAGAATTAAGGAAATGATCACCAATTAAAGAAGCTCTTGATTGTTAAACAAATTCTCCTTTTCAGCACCTTATAAAATTTATAGAGAGCAGTGTGGAGAATATGCTTTACGATGTCAGGGAGTCAAGAGTTGAGGTCACTAGAACAAAGGACATGATCTCTAGAGAAGCTCTTGATTATTTGGAAAATTCTCCTTGTCTGCACCCGAAGAAAAGTACAGAGAGCAGTGCATACCGATTTTAGGGTGAAAACGGTTATGCCAATCTTCAAAGCGTTACCTCACCTTGTGGTATTCATCTTCTGTTGGCGGTGAAGTGGGTGATCGAAACAACACAATGACTTGAGCCATAACTCGATGCAGTTCTTGAATAACAACGTTTCATCCAAGAATTTAACTTGAAATATTTTAAGTGGAAATCTTTCTGCAAATTAATCTTTTTTCTTTCGTTTCTTAACTCTGCTTTGAACAGGAAAACATAGTTAAAGTAACTGGGATTCTTTTGTTGTGGCGTCCGCCATTTTGTTTTCGGAGGGCCGAGAGAAGCTGAAACCTAATCTGGAAAAGAAAGTGAAAATCTGGAAATCTGGAAATCTAGAAATCTGGAAATCTGGAAATTTGGAAATTTAAAAAATCTGGAAATCGAGAAATCTTGTTAAAGAAGTAATTTAGACGTTACTCGTAACATTTCCCTGTAGTGCGCATAGAAATCAGAGGATTTTTTCGAAAGTGAATGAGGGAGCAGCTACCAAAAAGTGTGTCCACTAATTTTCTCCCAATTTCGGAATTCAAACTCCTGTCTTTGACACATAAAAACTATATTCACAAAAGAAATCTTTTCCATAACTTATTTGAAAAACAGAAGGTCTCAGTCATGACAAGAAATATGTTCAAATCTTTTCCTTAACAGAAACTGATATATCCGTAAAAATAATCAGAAACTTTTGGCAGATATTCAGTATACTGTCTGAGGAAACATTTTACACCATTCAGTGACATCTATCGGGCATATTTAATATACATTAGAGTGGTCAAGAAGTCATGAGAAAGAAATGTTCATTGTGTAAATGACAATCGCCAGCTCAGTAATATTTTGGGAAAAAAATGGTACGAGAGGATACTCAACGTTAATGGAGATTTCTGTTATGTATTTGCAGGAACGGTACGATTTTGGCTCCAGGAAGAGAATCCAGTCACGGAATTTGTTTCCATTGGGGATAAACTCTCTGGAAGTCACTTTCAGATTGACCTTAAACCCATATTTGCATTTGTCCACAGAGATGGCGTCAAAGCACTGATTCGTGGAAGTAACATTGACCATTACAATAACAGATGCTGCTGGGAGAAAAGCATTATTATAGATGGGAACACTATTTAAAATGATGCGGCATGTAACTAACATGAAAATTTCTCTATCGATTTCACAAAACAGGAATGACAACTGAAGCTGTAGAAACGGAATATGAATTGCCTAAACAATAGATCAAGTGATGAGATGTAAGCGCTAGCAAGTTAAACATGATATAATTAAGGTTGTAACTGCTTCCGTTATCGCTAATGTTCCCGCTTCCGAAAGAAGCCTCGAAATATTTTATAGTTTGATAAAAGCCTCTGTGATTAGTTCCTTTTAGACAGAAAATTATAGTTAGCGTTTCAGTTCAGGAGAAGACCTCGTGAAATCAAGATCGTTTCGAAATGG